CCACAAGCATGTTCGTACTGATCGTGCGTCTTCTTTGGCCACGCAACCAGTTGATCAAAACGATCGACGTCCTTCCAATCAGGTGACCACCACGTATCTGTCGTGCACCAGCACAACGGGCACGGATTAAGACGTGTACTGCCCGTTGGAAGGCCTAGCGTCGAGAACTCACCCATGTCAACTTTTGTGAACAGTACGGCAACTTTGAAGCCCATAGGCTGGCCTGCCTTCATATTCAGAAACAAATCGTCCCTGCGAAAAGGCGATAGGTCGTGGCGTGCCGTCGGATAAGTTCCTTTCGACATTGCTTCCAACACCCACGCCATGAAGCTCCAGACGGGGTAAAGGCTGCAGTGCCCCCTACAGCCGCACTTGCACATTTCTGAGGCCCCGAGGCAAACAACTAGAAATCTGAGGCCGCTCAAGATATTGTATAGCCACACGCCAAGAACTGAATCAGTGCGCTCGAACGGAACCTTGTCCAGATACATACCGAATGGCAAAACGCATTCGCCGTGCGATGCCCCCTGGACAGCAGGGTGCGATGTATAAGCTGCTGGTAGCCGTCCCTCCGCCAGCGCAATGGCAACGTCCGCCTTCGCTTTGGAAGCGTTCGAGCCAAATTCCTCGACAACTAAATCGATAGGATTGAGCGCTGGGACCTCCATGGTACAGCGAGTGGCGTCAGAACGGCGATGTGCAGGCACAGTAATGCTGTAGAAACTCCTGTGTATGTTGTCGCCCTTCGGCAACACAACCCTGTCGAAGTGAGAGGAATATGATCCAGACTGCTTGCCTGGGGGCCAGGCCAGCTTGGTGACCATGCCAGATGCGCCAGCTCGAGATGCCCAAAATGACAAAATGCAAGCTTGGGTGGCATTGATCTGCCCATCCAGTTTCAACTGTATGATGTAGTCGCTGAGCTCTCTCGCAGCTGCTTCTGCATCCATTGATTTGTAATCGTCCTCAGCGTCGCTGTCGCTACATGCGATTCCGCCAGGCGGAGGTGCCCACACTGGCAGGGATCGCTCCCACGCGTGCGACATGCTGCCAGGGGCCAAGACCTTGCGCCAGTGGCGTGAGCCAAACCTGTTACGGATAATGTCATGATGTTTGGCGCGGATTTCGTGCATCTGGTTAACATTGTTTTCCCACGAGGAACCATGCCACTTTCACAGAAACTGCACGTGTTGGCCGCCGCCCGAGGAGCAAACGAACGGTAGGTGCCGTCCTCCTCCTTCTTCCTCCTCTTCCTCCTCCTCTTCTTCCGTCTCTCCTGCTTCCTCCTCATCATCCTCCCATTCCCACTCATCATTCCCGTCCTCTTCCGAGACCTCCTAGTCCCTCCCTCCCCCTCCTCCTCCTTCTCCTCCTCCTCATCCTCATTCCTCTCCTTTATCCTTGGCATGGGCGGTGTCGGGCGCTGGGCTGTTCGCACGGGTGGCACAATAATCGACAGCGAGGTGCGGTATTCCTCTTTGTTCTTCTTAATCGTTTGTTTGTGACACGTCTTACGTTTTGGAGTAAACGGGGCCCAAGCCTGGAGTAAACGGGGCCCCAGGGGGCAATCCAACACGAACGGAACGAGCACACCGTCGTATCAACGTACATGAAGGCTAGATGGAGGAATGATCACGGCGGAGGGAGGAGGAGGGAGTTCGGCGATGCGGACGGGGAGGAGGAGGACTGGAGGAAAGCCAGGATGCTTCAGCGCTTCGGTAATACACCCTCCCGTCTCAAGTGCCCTCCTCATAAGTACTTTCAGGTATTCATTTCCGTTGCGGGAAGCATGATAAGACGAATGGGGGAGGGGGGCCTCGGGAGGATGGGGAGTTGCCACGAGAAGGAACGAGGCATATGAGGAAGACGAGCAGGATGTAGGCGGGATGGTCAGGAGAGCTGGAGTGGGTTGACGGTGGAGGGAGGACGAGGGTAAGGAGGGGACGGAGGGTGAGGAAAAGGAGGCTAAAGAAGCGTCGTGCATTTCGCCTCACCCCGCTCTGTGTCACTGCCACATCCACGCAGCGAGCGTGGATTGTTGTCAAACTTTTTTCTTCAGGCACATGGCGGAATCTGTATATACGTAGCGCTGTACCTCCAGATTCAAGCCCAAGACACTAGACACTTCAGTGCGGCCTTGCTGGAAGCACCCCCCCGCAGCACTCGTCGCGCGACCAACCCAACGTCACTGACTTACAAGATCGGTCCCAAACTGAGTGTACAACACGTTTGAATCTCAGGAGTTGGCCAAAAACAGGCCGACACAGAAACTCATGCAGATTCAGATTCTTTCAGATCCATTCAGATTCAGATCCAGATTCATAATGTCGAGTTTCCCTGTGACATTCGACACAAATCAAGGTTGTTTCAGATTCATGCAGATTCAGATTCATGAAAATTCATGTAAATTCATTTTGGTAAACGGTTCTGCATGTGTGATCGGGCTGATGTTTCAGCGCTTTTGTTGCGCATTGCATTCTTATCTGATGTATTATGTGAATTCCTAAGTTGCGTTGGTCGGTCGCAGCACCCACTCTTTGGCGACAGGCACCCGACAGCAAAAGGCAGCGTCACTCACGCCTGAGACTCATCGTCACGCTTGAGCCTCGCCGCGTGCATGTCCTTGAGGATCCCAACCTCGTTGGACAGCGCGCGAATGGCAGACTCCATCTCGCCCTTCCTCTGGAGCTCGACCTCGATGGTGGCGGAGTCGTACTTCTTGGCAAGGGTCTTGAAGAAATCGTCGTCAAGGGTGAAGTCGTTCCAGAAGGAGCTCATCACCTTCTTCTTCTCGAGCGCGCCCCGCGAGTCTCTCACTTGCTTGAGCTGGAACTCGCCGTTCGCCCACTGCCACTTGGGCTGCGAAGCCACGGCGATCAGCAGGTCGGAGCACGCGCTCGATGCCTGCGAGAGCTTCGTCCTCGTCATCTTGAGTTTCTTGAGCGTCTCCTGCAGCTTGGCAGCAGCGACGTCGTCTGGGTTCTCCTCTCCGTCTGCGTCGGCCGCTTGCTGCGCCGCCTTCGCAGCCTTCCTAGTCGCATGAGCTCCTCCACTATGGCTCCTCTTGCCCGATGCCTTGGCCTTGGCCTTGGCGACGCCCGTTGCCACCTCAGCTTCGACGGCCGAATCCGCAGCCCGCGCGGTCTTACCTCCGCTCGGCATGCCCGAGATGTTCGCTACCTCAGCCTTGATGGCGCTCAAAGAGTTGTCGGCCGCCTCGGGGTGAGCGACAAGGGCCTGCTCGATGGCGCCCTTGCGGCTGGGGTCGGAACTGATGATCTTCTCAGTCCACTTCCTGGCGAATGTCTGCCTGCACTTCTTTCTGATGTAGAGAAACTCGATACGCTTCGTCCAAGTGTTGAAGCTCAGGAAGGATCTGCACTTGATGCCCTTCCCGAGCTTGTAGCGGCGAACGCACTCGGCCACGTAGTTCCGAGCAGCCACCAGCGCAGGGGCGTCGCCCCCTTCTTCTCTCACGATGCAGGAGAAGGGCAGGAACTGGCCGCCCATGATGTCCTCTTCGGTAAGGCTCTTGCTCTCAGTCTTCTCCTTGACCAACTGCTGCAGCTTCGCCTTCGCCCAGTCCAGGCGGAACTTCGCCTGGGCAGTCCGCCCTTGCGATTTGAGTTTAGCGTAGTCGCCGGCCATCTTTTTGTTGCGTTTCTTCTCCGCACTCCATTGGGAGCCAATCCTGCTTCTCAAGTCGAACCCCTTCTCCTCGATGCTCATCTTGTACATCTGGATGAGGCCGTCGTCCTCGCCCTCGCCGCCCCCGTCAGCACCGTCGTCGTCGCCGACAAGGTCCCTCAAGATCTCGGTGTACTCGTCGTCCTCCTCAGCTGGCTTTTGCCCACGAGGGTCGTACACCTGATTGGAGGCCCTGGTGTCGGACTCAGGCCCGCTGGGTGTAGGCGGGATGTGTGAAGTGGCCCCCGTCGGGGTGCTTGACGCGGCCCCTTGATCATCCAGCTCCCCAACACCGATCTGACTATCGTCCGCAGTCAACCTATGTTGCTCGCCCTGCACTTTGAGAAACTCGACGATCTCTTCGACGCTGCTGAAGCTGTACGCAGGCGCGGGTGCCTCAGCCGCCATAGGCTAGAGAGTTGAGCACGATTGGAGTCGTGCCGAGCTGTGAACCCGAGTGCCTCCTTGGAGCCAAAACGGCTACGGTGCACGACAACATTTACAATCAATCCAGCAGTGATGAACAACCGAACGCATGGAGCGTTTAAGCCAACCAGTCTAAAGGTACCCCACCCACCCTGAGGATGAGGAGGGAGGGGGGAGGAGGAGGAGGAGAAGGATCAGGAGGAGGAGGAGGAGGATCAGGAGGAGGAGGAGGATCAGGAGGAGGAGGAGGAGGAGGAGGAGGCCCAAGAGGGGCCCTAAGGAGCTCCCAAGAGGGCATCCAAGAGGGCCCCCAAGAGTGATGTTTCAATGCGATGGTGATTGCCATGGTGATGGTGATGGTGATTATCACTGTTGGGTCACATTGACACAGGTGATGGTGATAGTGATGATGGTGGTGACGATACGGGTGGCGATGACGATAACGATGAGGAGGAGGAGGACGACGACGATGACGACGATGACGATGCTGATGATGATGATGATGCTGCTGCTGCTGATGATGATGATGATTGGGATGCTGATGATGATGATGGTGATGGTGGTGATGCTGATGATGCTGATGCTGATGCTGATGATGATGATGATGATGCTGATGATGATGATGGTAGTGACATCGATGATGACGGTAACGATGGTGATGATGCCGATGATGTTTGGTTTTCCTTGCGTTGAGCTACGCTCGTATGCTCTGGAAACGGATCGTCGGCCAGCGAATGCACTCCCCTGCGAGTAGAGGCTAGCCGGTTGTTCGCACGTGCTCCACATTGTTTGGGATCCCTTGTGTTTCTTTGTTGAGGCGTGGTCGGACCTTACTGTGGAGCGCGTCTGGCGATGTGTGGCCCAAGACCTTCGGAGCTCCAGAATTATTACCTCGTGGAGTCGAGATCGAACTCCAAATCGATGGCCTCCTCAGGCCACATGGGCAGGCTCGCAGGCTCGGGTTCTTTGACAGGCGGGCGAGAAGATTGCGCAGAAACAGGAAACGGCTGGGCCTTGCTCGCCCCGCCTGGGGCCCTAACGTCTGGAGCAGAATGAGACACGTGCACCTCTGTATTCCCGGGCTTTCTGGGCGTAGTCTGCACCGCAGGCGTCTTCTTCTTCGGCGTGGCTGTTCCACTCAGCGAGTTCACGCACTCCTCAGTGCGCAAGTCGCGAAGCTTCTTGGCATTGTCGGCGCCCATTCCGCCTGCCAAGGCTTCGGCGCACTGCATGGCGACATCCTGAGCAGCCTTCTTCGCAGCATCGATGTCGAACCCTGGCTTGATGAAGTTGTGGGCGAGGACCTGGAGCTTCTGTTTGCGCTTCTTCTTCTCGTCCTCCCACGTGCAATGGAATACGAGGAACACCAGCTTCTTTGGTGGCTCCTCTGCCTCGTCGTCCTTCTTCTTGGCGGTGATCTCGGTCTTCATCACTTCGTAGCTGGACTGGTCCTTGCAGTAGGCCGCGTGCAGGACACCAGTCTTCTTCGTCGACTTGGCCAGGATCTCCTTCAGCTCCTCTGGCGCGACGCGCTCGCAAACCCTGACGGACGAGTCGTGCTTGAAGGTGGCCTTGGCAATTGCGTCGCCTGGTTCAGGAACGATCCACTCGCCCCAGACCTTGACGCGCTTCTTCGAGCTCTCGCCCTGCTTCTCCACGTAGGGCAGGCGGGTCTCTTCGTCGAAGTCGCAGCGCTCCTCACGATGACCATCTGCAGGAACCTCTGCATGACCATCTGCAGGAACCTCTGCATGACCATCTGCAGGAACCTCAGATGGAGCAGCACTGCCCGAGCCACGGCAGCCACGGAGGCACTGGCCTTGGATAGGAGGACTGTCTTGGCTACTTGGCACCTCCTGAACGGAATCGCTGTCCTGGTCTTCACCGTCATCTCCTTCGGGCTGGTCTTCCGTCGCAGCACCGACGAGGAGGCAGCTGTCGTCGCCCTGCGACGCACCACCGCCGTCGTCGCCACCCTTGCTGTTCGCGACCAGGTCCATCGCCCACTGGCTCCGCTTGCGAACCGATGCTTGGAAGTGCGATGCCATCGCGCGGATGCGCTTCGAAACTGTCATCGCCCACTCCTCCTTGTGCTCGTCCTGCAGCTTCGGGTCCCACGACTGGTTCTTCAGCTCGAACACCTTGACCAATGCCTCCTGCATGAAGCGTTGCGAAAACTGCAAGTTATTCTGCAACTCGCCCAGGTCGTTCAACAAGTCTTTGTGTGCTTCGATCTTCTCGCGGTCGATGGACTCCTTGATCTTCTCGCCGTATTGCACGAACTGGCACCCCGTCGCGTGCTTGAGCAGCGCATCGACAAGCTCCGAAAGGTCGCCGTCGAAAGAAGAATTGGGCGGCATGGCCCCGCTGCAAACAGCAGCGAGGGGGTCGCTCGTACGCCCCTCAAACGTTTGAGCCAAAATGGGCTATGGAGAGACGCAAACGACGTCAACGGTGACTCGGGACAAGACGCCGAACCCCCAGACGCCCAAGAACGCCTCGCACCCCCCTCCTGAAGCCCGTGGAAGGGGATCGGTAGCTGGGGGGGGAGGCGCCTTCGATCTCTTTGACCAGTACCTGCCTGAGGGCGGCCGCCAGCAGCAGGAGGAGGAGGAGGAGGAGGAGGAGGAGGAGGAGGAGTGGAGGAGGAGTGGGAAAAAGGAAGAGGAGGAGAAGCTGCGGCCGCAGGAGGAGGACGAGGAGGAGGAGGATGAGGAGGAGGAGGAGGAGGGATAGGAGGATTGGGAGGTCGAACGCGAAACAGGATCAAACAACAAGGATTTCATCAAGGCCGTAGACGAGGAGGGGGAGGACAGTGCATAGAAGGAAGAGCGGGATGAACGTTATGAGGTGGCGGAGAACCGTGGGGAGGATGATCATATAATGACCCAAGAGGGGAAGGATGGCATGGAGCAGTGATATAAATAATACGATTATGACGAGGAGGGGGAGTTTTTTTTGCGAGAGAGAACGCTCGGACAACATCATCGACAAACGCACGCCACGGACGCATATAATGCGTCTTGTCCCAAGACGCATTTTTTTGCAACGAAACAACCTCAGGGGAGCTGGGGAGGCGAGCAAGCACAGGAAGGAAGTCCGCGAGAGCGAGGGTTTGACCCGACAGGGCGCCCCCATGACGGACCTGCGCCACTGGGCCCCCAGAGGCCCGCGCGCCCGGGTGAAAATTAAGTTTTTCGACGCGACGAACAGCGCTAGGGCGGCGGGGAATGGGGCGGCCAGTTAAGCGACGCGGGGGACGCGCTCTAAGGCGAAGGGGGGGGGGGGGGTGAGGGGGGGCGGAGCGGCCGAAGAGAACAAGCTACGGTTTGAGACCCGGCAAGCAAGCAGTAGATATACGCAACAAGACGCATTTACCTCACCGCGGCCGGCGCCCGCGCCGCGCGGGGGGAACAGGCGGGGGGGGCGGGGCGCGCGTGATTTCTGCGAATGTTACGCGGTAAAAACGGAAGATAGGCGCGGGAGACGTCGAGGCGGGGCAACCCCATCTTCTGCCGCGCCCTGCGGGGCGGGGGGGGGCGAGTTAGCTCGGAGCAGAGTGGCGTCGAAGGAAGGGGTGGACCACTGCGCCAGAAAGGCCATTACGGACATGACTTTCTTTATTCGCCGCACGAGGAGCAGCGTGAAAAGCGACGCCGGCCCCGCTGCCGCCGCCGCGCAGGAGGCCACCAGGGGGGCCGGCGACTTCAACGCGAGAGCGGTCGTTTGCTTGGTTGGGGGTTCAAAAGCCAATCGCGAGGTTGAAAGGCATTCAGACTGTTCAAGGATAAGCGGGGCCCCTTAAGAGCGCATTTGACGGCCAGTGCATCACCAGCTCGCGGGGGGGCCGCGCACGCACGCGCTGGGCGGCGGCTCACGCGAGAGGGCGCGGGGCAAAAGTCCACGCGCCATCACCGGAGTTTGGCGAGTGCGCGACGCCGAGAAACTTGGCCTTGTTAGAATATGCCCAGCGCTGTTGCTCATAGCGTTGAATGAGGCGCGTTGGGAGAAAAAGGTTTGCTCTCTTAGGTCCCCACAGGAAAGATTAATTACGCTAGGAAACATCCCCGTTTGCTTGTGTGTTTAGCTACTTGTTCTAGCGATTTCGGATCGCGGTCAGACACGGCCGTTCGCGACGTTTTCGGCTCCTTCTTCCGGCGCGCAGTCCCCCATATTTCGATCATCATTATCATGGTTATTCTTGCCCTTCTCTGGCCCTCGCCACTGGCTGAATCGAGAGCGCCGAGCCTCTGGGCCCGACTCGCCGACCGCCCCGCCCCAGGGCCATCGGGCCCTTGGCCCTGTTCCGGGCCGGCGTCGAACTGGCGCGAGTTCTTTCCGCGATTTTAGTTATGGGGGGGGCGGCGACAGAAACGAAAATGCGGGGGCGACGATTGCAGGGGAGAAAAGGAGCAATCTCCGAACAGGAACGAGAAACGTCGACCAAAATGTCGACCCACAGGGACGGACTTAAAAACGCATGTTTTCCCAAAATGTTTAAAAACGCAAAAAAAAAAAAAGAGAGAGAGAGAGAGAGAGAGAGAGAGAGAGAGAGAAAAAGAAAGAGAGAGAGAGAGAGAGAGGAGAGAGAGAGAGAGAGACAAAAAAAAAAAAACAAAAAAAAAAAAAAAAAAAAAAAAAAAAAAAAAGAGAGAGAGAGAGAGAGAGAGAGAACAAAAAAAAAAAAAAAAAAAAAAAAAAAAAAAAACGGGGCTACCATGGCGACGGATGCTGGCGCCTGTGTCTTTGATCATGTAGCTCGCCAAGAGCCCGAGCGCAATGCGCTGGCGCCCAGAACACCCAGGGCGCTCGTCAGGAGAACCCAGCGGAGAAGACGGGCGGCGGAAAGCGAGCCCATGGGAAAACGGAATGTTCTTGAAAATGATCGAGAGCAGCCGCGACGTCAACATCGGCGCCGGGCGCGGAGCAGTTTCCAGCGCGCGAGCTGCGCCGCAGAGGGGGCGTGGAAGAGAGGCGCGACCTAGAGGAGGTGCACGGGGTGAAAAGGTCACCGCGGCAGCCTTGCCCCAACGACGCCGGCGCGGAGACCAGAGCGGGGCCCGCCGCGCCCGCGGAGGCCCCGGTCGCCGGGCGCCGAGCTCGCGGCAGCGCGGGGCAGGCACTGCAACCCGCAAGTCCGAGCGCCCAGCGACGGGGCCCGCCCCCGGCCGCCGCGGGCGCAGGGCCACTTCCGGAGGAGGCCGCCAACGGACGCCGCGCGGCCAGGAGCGCCCCGCCAGAGTCATGGAGTGGATCGGAGAAGCAGGGGGGCGCCAGGCCCACGGAGGAAGAGGGGCTCGAGGAGGGCAAGAGGAGGAAAGAGGGCGCCAGGGAAAATTATGGCGACCCCAAATCGCCCGCCGCCAGCGAACGCCAGGGTGGACTCGCAGGACGCATGGGCCCCCGAGGGAAGCGCCATCATGAGGGCGCCCCGCGCTCCTCGCAAGGGTTCGTTTCGCCCGGCCACTGGGGTTGGCGGAGGCCCGAGTCCAGCTCGCTGGGGTAATTCTGAGGGAACCAGCTATGTCACCGCGGTTGTCAGCGGGGCCTTTTTATGACCACGTTGACGACTGGACTAGAGACGAAGGCTGAGGACGCAAAGATGATGCGAATAATCCTTGCAGAGGTGGCGAATGGACCAGGTTGACCGATGACAGCGCGGAGATGGACAGGGCCACGGGAGTTCAATGACATCCCATAGGACGGACGACGGCGCTCAGCGGGCGGAGAACCTCAGCGGGATCAATATGGGGGGCTAAGATGAAGAAATGAGCGAGATACGAGCAGAGCTTATCCGCGTGGGTTTCAGTGTTGATGAAGGACGTTGGCTCACAGGTTCAGATTTGGACGTCCTTCGGCAGGTTGGCGAGAATAGGGGACAGTGGTGTAAGGGCAACAAGCAGTTCCAGTACACGTCTCGGATGCTTACTGACATTTTCGAGATGCAGTATGGCATGTACTATACTGATGCTTGCCAGGCTTTGTCATCGACTTAACTACGCGCGACGAGCACGCATATCCCTTGGGCAGTGTCGAAACCACGCGGGCAAAAGCTAGCCAATTTGTCATAAGCAATGCGGCTGCGTTATTGTTGGCGAGCCCAGCCTCATGCGCGCAGCATTGGGGCGTCTGCAAAGTTGCGACGCTGCGAGGCTGGGGCTTGAAAAGATGAAGGAGATGCTCGAGTGTGGGATTCAGGGTATTACATGCGCGTTGAAATTGTGCGGGGCTCAGAGGACAATGGGTTATACTCCACGTTTGCGCGCTCAGCGGGAGCGTCGAGTTGAAGCGCAGCGCCTGCGCAGCAATGCAAAGATTTGAGACAGGCATTTGATGGATAAAAGGCCCACATCAAAGTTCCACCCGACCCATGACCAATCGCCCCTGCATTGGTCAAGCCCTTAGTTTGAAGTGCCAACATGGACAGCGCGAACGCATTGAGATCATGGGAAGTGGGCGGGCGAAGAAATCTGGAGCGTGCAAATCAGTGCCAACAACCTCTGGGCAAACATTCCGGGCGGCCTGCGCGCTGGGCCGGTGGATTTATAGAAGAACCGAAGACCATTATGCATTGAGCACGCCTGACACCCGTGTGGCAAGACCACAGGGGGCGGCGGATCCAATGGCCCTCGGCCCATCCCGCCACCGTGCCCGAGTTGTGGGTTTGAGGTTTCGTGGGTGTTCGTTGAGTTTTCGTCGAGGCCTTGGGGGGCTTCTGGGGGCCTCGTGGAGGCGTTTTGGGGCTTCTTGGGGGCCTCTTGGGGCCTCCTGGTTGCCTCTTGGGGTGGAAACCTATGATTTTCAGCTCGTGTTCCCCTTCTTGGGGTCCTCTTTGGCCGTCTTGGACCCCTCTTTGGGCCGTCTGGGGGCCCTCTTGGGGCTCTCTTGGGGCCCTCTGGTGCCGTGTTGGGTCGGGCGGTGTTGGGAACTTCTTGGGGCGCTTTGGAGCGCCGGAAACTTCGAAAAGTGGACAAGCCGAAAAACATTCAAGAACCAAAGGAAAGTCAATGATTGTGGCCTCTCGCGGTCCTCTGGGAAAGGCTATTTGAGGCCTTTGGGGACATTTTGGAAGTTTTTTCTGCCGACTGGAAGCCGTGTTGGGCGTCTTGGACCGATTGCCCTGCGATCCAGAGCCCTCTTAGACCGTTTGGGGGGCATCTGAGGGCCCATTTGGTCCGTTTTGGAGCCCTCTTGGGCTCGAAAACGTCACGCGACAGGACGCGGGCAAGCCCAGATGATTTGGCAAATTCGGGTCCGGATGCACATGTCGAGCGACAGCTATGCAACAAGAAAAAACATGGATAGCCAGGGAATTTGATACATAATATTTGATAGTGTATGCATATACGCAGAACGATGC